AAACCTCTCTTGATAGTTCACGATGAATCCAACACAAAACTTACGTCTGAAGACTCCCAAACTTCTCAAATTTTATTAATCAAAAAAAAAAAAACCACAATTGATTTTTTGTTGGTTTTGGGGCCTTTTGTTGAGGCGCAAGCATAGTTGTTGGGTTCGAGAGCAAGAGCAATACCGGGATCAGGATCAAGAAATGCTAGAAGATCCCTATAGTTGGGAACACCGCCCGTACAATGCACATGTTAGGAATCGAGATTCCCAAATGTTAGGATATTCCAACCTTTTGGGGATCTTGATCCCGACCTTCTGGTATCTTGTTACCAACCTTACAGTGTATGATAATCTAGGATTATGAATACTCTTTAAAGTAGGAATCTTATTATTGATAGAAAGCAAGCAAGCAATAGTTGTGTTGCTAGTTGGTTATAAACAAAAAAAAACATCAGTTTGATTGTTGTCTTGGTCTTTAAAGCTGGATCGAGATCCCTAACAGCAGGAATTGGATCCCTATGAGTGGGGTTCGAGATACCAAATTTTAAAAATCGAGATCCCTAAGAGATCTGATCCAGGAGCGATAGAATCGAGATCCTAGAAGGGATCGCCTACCAAAGTAGGAGATCCCGGTAACTATGGGCGCAAGGCTGCCTCAAGCTCTTGGGTTCCCACCTAGGGCAGGTCATCAAGGAGGATCGCATCGGCCTAGCGGGGTGCTTAGGCAGCTGCCTCGCCTCAATGTGGTCGGTTGGGTGCTAGACATGTCATTTTCAGAACATTAAATGAAACAAGAACTGTTAAAGGATATCGAATGGAAATATGAAGCGTAACACTATCCCTATTTCTATATCTCATATTTCATATAACAATAAATGCGACATCCTATATCAATAATACCACAATCATTCTTCATGATCATAACCAGCTAAGTATAATGAATCCCTTTCATGTCTTTATTTGCTTTGTAATCTTCTTTAACTTTTGCTTGCTATTCAACTTTTTCAACTTTTTTGAGTAAATAGAAGTAAAATCACACTATCCATCTAATGTCAAAAGTAATAATATGAAGACGTGCTCATACCAATACTTACTAGTAAGGGAGGAGGTAAAAAGTACTCAGGCAACCACAAAAGATACACACAGGATATGCACACAACCACATAGTACAACATAATATTTGGAAACTCGGCTCAGCCTTAGTCTCAACCCTGGCCCAAGCCAAGTCCCTCGAAAGAGTCCTAGAAATCCACTTAGTAGCGTACGAGGCCAAAAAGCCCTAAAAATAAAAAACAGAAAATTGGTAAAAAAAAAAAAAAATAGTAGAAATCAAACTAAACCAAAAACAACAGAAAAAGTCAAATAAGCTGAAAAAACATATAAAACACAGATTTTAAATAAATTGATTTACAATTGGAGATGTTTTAGAAAACACACAAAAAGAGACGACAATATAAAAATAGGGCATAGGACAAGAAAAACTCACAAAATACTGTTAAAGAATCCAAATTACATATAAAATATATATACATTGATTCCACCATGTTATTTAATTTTTATGATTTTTATTTTTTTAAGGGAAAATATCTCCGTACACCCCATTTTGGTGTACCATTTCCCAATAGATCCACAGGTTTTAAAACTTACTAGCAACATAGAGGTTCCAGGAAACGTATCTTCTAGCTCCTTGGACCCCAATTGACACCCTTTTACCACACTTTTTTGCCTCAAACAAAGCCTAAAAAGACAGCTATATTTCTTTCTAAAAGATAACATCCTCTCTCTCTCTCTCTCTCTCTCTCTCTCCTACCCTA